ATATTGTATATATTTTAATGGACTATATTGACATTAAACATGTTACATAGATGTAACACATTTTTGTTATAATTACAGCATATGTACATAGATGCAGATAATTATACGTTTGTGCTTGTATAGAATATATGTGCTTTTTAACAAACTTTTACAAATTAACTTGCAAAGCCGTATGTGAATGTGTACATGAAAATACCTGTGTAGATAGACCATTGTTCTATTTGCAAAATAAGTAAGACCAGACTTTACGTGTTCCTAAAATGTTGTATAATGGAATGATTGCAAGACTAAGATTTAGAAAGACAGGTTTCTAATTTAGCTTTTGCTGCTAACTAGTGTGATGTTAAGCAAGTCATTATATCCACTAGAATGTAAGCTCCACTGGGACAGGAATTTTGTCTGTTGTGCTCATTGCTGTATTGCCAGCATCTGGAAAAGACTGAACCCAGAGTAAGTGCTGAACTAATTTGTTGCATGAATTCTGTTTCTCTAGATTTACAGTTTCCACATCTATAAAACAATGTTTCTTCTAATGCTCACATTCCAAATTAATATTGGGGCCCTTATGAATTTAAGTAAGGCAAATTCCAAACTAGAACTGTTTATTGAGCTTCTGCCTAGACCTTTATATTGCTTAGTCAATTTGAAGCTCTTTTCATGAATATTTATTAATATGAATAAGACAACAGTTAGATGTCAGTTCATCTGCCATCTTAATTCAGCAGGACTAAAAGAAAAACTTTAATATTAAAAATATATTATTCAAATTCAGAAAATCAAGTAAATATAAAAGAAAATTCAATAATTAGCCCCTCAAATGATGTTTTTGAGCATTTGTATCCTTTACACTGTGGAAGCTATTAAAGTTTAAAACGGCTGTAAGAATTTTGAGATACCCTGTAGATATATCCTTCTTTGAGAAAACTTGATATCTCAACTAAAATATACAAATGAATAAAGATTATTCGCTTTTAAGGTTTTTCTTTTCATTTGTCACCAAATATGTAATGAACAACAATCATGTGAAACCTGTGTTAGATAATGCAAGAGAAATCAGTTATTGACAGTCTGCACTTCACCGTCCTCTGGACTGCCAGCAACACACAGAGCCCGAGATCACTGGTGACAAAGCCTCTGGGTTGGAGTCAACATCGACATTACAAAGACTGGAGAGGAAGCCTGGAGACCTGTGCACTACTTGCAAGACTGCAGCCCTCCCCTTCCCCTCTGCCACAGCCACCATTACTCACAGCCTCCCCTGTCACGAGGACCAATCCCTGCTGTGTACTGCTTCCCTCTTTCCTCATGGCTTGTGTCCTCACTTCCCCCTGCACTGCTTACTCAGACCCTGGCTCCTTTTCAAACAAAACAATTCCTGCTCTACCTCGTCACTCTCTACCCCTCTCATCCTGCCTAATTTTTTTCCCATAGCACTTATCAGCGATATCGTATCTTTGTTCACTGTCTTTCTTGTATATACATGTGAACTAGAATCTACACTCCTTTAAAGCAGGACATTTCTGATCCATCCGTACATCCCCAGCACCTCAAGCACTGTATGACATGTAATAGATGCTCCACAAATATTTGTTGAATAGGTGAATGAACAAAAAGCAGAATGAACTAACACTCTAACCTGAACTTGCCATATTGTTGATCCTCTTAACTGTTTCTCCCCCAGTTTCCAGCAGCACCTCACCATTTAAAGTTCCTGTAATTTCTCTAGCCATGATCCTCGTTATTTTCAATAACTGGTGTTCTACCCAGATTTTGTTATCTCATGCTGCCTTGGATAAACACTTGTAATTCATCTTGGCTCAATACTTTGGTAATATATCCCTGGGGCTTACCCCTGTCCTTCAAGTGAGGTCTGGCCAGTATGTGGCCATGAATGGCCACTGCTCTACCACAGTGACTTCATAAATGAATTACCTCTAGAAAGGAATCAGTATATAAATGAATAAATGCCAAAAGTAAACTAAACAGCATTTACAATGGCCATAGATGAAGTCCCTGCCTTGGATAAGTGTGCATGTTCCACAATGACAAGTCAAGTGGACAAGACAGAGTCCAAAAAGGGGAAAGGTAGAGAATTCTTGAGACATAGGTAGGTAAGTGGGAACATCCATATGACTGTTGGTAGGAGTATAAATCACTACAATGTTTCTCAAGGGGAATTTAGAAATAGCTATTTAAATTAAACAGATTCCTACCCTTTCAGTAGCATTTCAACTTCCAGTAATTCATCCTGTAGAAGCTCTTCTATAACCACTGGAAATATCCAATAGCCCATCAATAAAGGGATGGTTTAATGATCAACCACATAGTCATAAAATGGAATAGTGCAATCTTTAAAAAGAATAAATATATACCTGTTTGTGTTACATTATATTAAATGGAATGTGAAAATTGCACATTAGTATATGTGGTGTGATTTCACTATCAACAGTTTATACCCCTGTTCTAGATATCAAGAGTAACAGTGAACAATACTCACAATGACCCTGCTCTCACAGAAATTAAATTCTAATTGGAAAACAGACCACAAACAGATAAAGGTTTAATGGCAGATGAAGCACTGCTATGAAGAAAAATAAAGCACAGTAAAGGGATACTATACAAAGCCTCTCTGAGGAGACAGCTTCTCTTGAAGCAGAAATCTGAATAAGGAACAAGGCAAGAAAGAAGGGACAAACAGAAGCAGCATGCTTGCAGGCTTGAGGAAATGTAGGGAAGACAGTGTGACTAGAGAGCATTGGTCATATGGAATGAGGGACAGAAGATGAGATGTGAGGTGTCCAAAGACAAGATGATATGGCATTTCCTGGGCCACGATAACAATTTTGGATTTTCATTTTATTTTGGTGATTAATCATTATAAGATCTTGAGCAGGGGAATGATATGTTCAGATTTACATTTTTAAAGACTCACCATGGCTGTTATGTCAAGAATATTCTGAGGAGGAAAAGAATAGAAGCAGTGAGACCAGCTATATGAGTATGGCACTGCTCTTTTGAGTGATGACAGTGTCTGGACGTAGGGTAGGAGCTGTGGAGAGGAAGAAGAATGACCAGATTTGTGATGCATTTTGAAGGCAAAGCCAAGAGGATTCGCTGATGGATGGATGTGGGGTGTGTTAGAGGAATCAAAGATGATTACAAGGATTTAGGCCTGATCAGCCAAGTGAATTGCAGTACCATTTACTGCGGGAGGAGGATTTAGTAGTAGGAGGTGGTAGTGTGGTGGAGGTGGGGAAGAGTTCTGTCTTGGATATGTTAATGTTGAAGTGCCTATTAGATATGTAAATGGAGCTACTAGGCAATTGAATTAATGACTTCAGCATTTAAGAGAATGGTTAAGACCTTGATGTATATTTGGGAGGCACAATGGCATGAATGACTTTGTTAGCTATGTTAAAGCTATGTTAGAGATCACCTAGGAAGTAAGTGTAGAAGAAAGCAAAAGGTCGGAGGCCTGAGGTCTAGGGATCGTCTATATCTAAAAATCTCAAAGAGGAAAAATGCAGCAGAAGAGACTGGGAAGTAACAACCAATGTCAAAGAAGGGAAAACGGAGAGTGTGGATCACAGTAGCCAAGTGAAGAAGCTTGTATAGGTATAAAGAAAAAGTAGTTCCCAAATTATTAACCATTGTCTTCCTTGAGTGGTGAAATTATAGGGGGCATTCAATGTTTGCAATTTCTGTAACATTTAAATATTTTGTAATATACATATATTGTCTTTGTAAGCAAAAATAGCAATAAAAAGGTTAAGAACAATAAAAAGTAAAAATTTTAATGAACATACTAAAACAATGTGTAGGAAGCATCAGCATTAAGTTCATATACCATAACCTATTATATCTTTGATTAGACAATTTACAAAAGGAATCCAATGACCAAAAATGAGAGGGAAAAGATGCAGTGTTTCAAATGGCTTATGTAAGAGTGTATTTAGGTACCTTCTTTGTAAAGATTTTATGAGGATTGAAAAGTTAATGTGTTTATATAGTAGTTATGTATGTAATTACGTATATAGAGCATTTTTCATATATTGTTAATGGGTATTAAATGATACTATACAAAAACTAAAGCAAAACCCAGAAATGTTTATAGACAGTATAGATGGAATAAAGTCTAGCAGTTTTCCTAACCTATTGATACTGCTTATGCATGTAAGCAAGTAAATAGTTTAGAATTTATTTCCATGCTATGAATAGAATGCTGGTTAGTGCATTTCAAAGTGGCTCAAGAAAATTCTTCTGAACTTATCAAGAACTGAAATGCAAATGCATGTAATACCCAGTGCAAATGGAGGTGTACACCCCAAAACTGCCAGTCAGAACTCATGCAGCTGAGTCAAAAGGCCATGAGATAGCTCAGTAGTCTTTGAATTAGGATAAAACCTGTTATACCTAACTCTGTAATCTATATGCCATCTCAAATGTGTATAAATATTATATAGTGTATGTTAAAGTGTTACAAAAATCATCAATTAAAATACTAGTTTCTCTTTATGAGGATTGCTGATACGTGATAGTACAAAAACTGTGGTATTGTTCATACTGGGTTCCAAATGCACCTTCTCCTTAAAAGAATACGACTTGTCCTTTGAGACTATTTGTACACATTTAGTGAATTCCATATTAGGAGAAACCTATTAGATTGTTCACCATTATCTTTCCACATAACAATTGGGTGCCAAAATCAGATTTTCATTGAAGTTGTCACCATCAATAATACAATGATTTCATTTTGGCTGATTGAGATTCAGGCAGTCACTGAAACTGTGGCCATGGTGTAGCATCCAGTGCTGCTACTCTTAGCCAAGCACACTTTGGCAAGGAGCCTGAATCAAGCAAAGTACTCCCTTAGGTTACTATTTTTCTGATTAAATTTGTAATTATGTGTAAAATTAACTATTATATTTGCAGGATCAATTGATATTCAGGGGGAAGCTGTCTGAATAAAACTTAGAGTTTCTTTTACTCTCTCCTGTCAGAGTCGGGCCACAAAAAGTTAAAAAGTACCATCCAGAGAAGTACAGAAACAGGCATGGCAGCTGAAATGAGGAAGATGGTAAGGCAGCCGAGCCGAGAGTCTACTGATGGCAGCATCAACAGTTACAGCTCTGAGGGCAAGTAAGTGCTGTCAGCACGTCTGCATGGCTCTGGAACCACGAATTGTGTACTAATCAGTAAAATAACAAAGCCACTGAGTGTTACTGTGCAGCTTCTCTATTTAACCAGAAGTTCAACCATCCATTTTAAACCACCCTAATGGCTTATAAGTCAGTACACATGGACACACCTCTACACCTGGTCATTCATACCTTTCAAAGGGTGAAGAAATTCTGAGTCCACATGAATAAATTCATTTCCTCCATCTAGGAAAGCCCAGAATAGTTCCTTACTGGATATTTAGTGTAGAAATGCCACAGGTAATGGACTCTTTCATATGGGAAATTCATAGTTTGTCCCTGTCACCAAAGTCTAAATTAAAATTTATAAGTAAGGAACTGATTTCCCATTTTCTTAATTTTCTCCAAGCTAATTTGGACCCTAAGCTTTTCTAAGTCTAACACTGTCATATATGTAAGTAACTTACATTTTCTTGTTTTTAAAACATTGCTGACTCATTTTTACCTTAGGAAATAATCCAGGATCTATCAGCTTCATTATTTTTCTGACTAAAATGTTTTAGTTAATTCTGAGAAAATAGAATACGATTTTTAAAAATTTACTCAGTTCGTTTTTTTTTCTGACATTTTGTATGGATCCTGCACAAAACCTGCTATTTCCTATGCTTGAGAATTTTTCTGGTAAAACTGAATTTTTATTGAGGTAGTGGATCTTACAAATAAGTAGTTAATGTGTTGTTTTGGATTACATGGAGATTCACCACATATAAATTTTCTATAATTATTTGTTCATTACCATTCACATTACTCATATACCAATCTAATATTTCTTGTCTTTACTGGATTTTTTGTTTTGTTTAGAAAATTTAACAGAATTATGCCAGATTACTGTTTGTGATATTCTTTCCCATTCCTGAAACTAGTTGGTCTTTGTTTAGTTGGTCAAATGATTGACTTGTTATGCATGTTTCCAGTAAGGAATATCTAAGAACAAAAATCATCAGGTATGAAAGTTATGGAGATAAACTTACTGACAAAATAGCAGTATTGAATGAAGTAGCATAAAGTAATATACAAATGAGACTTGAACACATCATTTTCTGATACAGAAAAGTAACAGATAAAATTTGCCTCCATTATAAACCACTTAATCTCTTGGATTTATTTTCATGGTCTCTGGATGGGGTTATAATCTGTGTCCCATTTAATTCCCTTAGTTAAGAGAAATAATAGATGTGAAAGCACAGTGCAAAGAGTAAGTCTCTATAGAAATATATTCATTCAAAAAATGCTTACTGAATGCCTATTACATAATGAGCATAGTTCTTATTACCCAGTGATAACTACATCAGTCAACAAGAAAAGCACAGGCACTATCCTTGTGCAGCTTACATCCTGGGGCTATCAGGAAGTCATATTATAGGAGGAAATACAGATTTTTTAATCAATTAATTTCAATTGGAACCAAATAAAAGTCTCAAATAATTTAAACATTTAATTGATTCAAAGATGAATTTAACCAGAATTGATTCAAAAATGAATCAATTAAATATTTATAAATAAGAACTTGAACTATAACATTTATTCAAGAAATTATTGGTCACTTTAAAAAAAAATAGCATTAATGTTACCTAATGTTCATGAGCAAGTATCTGTGTGAAGTTTATGATATAAAAATTTGCATCATATTTTTTTTGTCAGCAACACATTTATATAGGGATTTGGAACTTGATATATTAAAAACTATGACTGAGCCCTCTTGAATAGAGCATTAGGTATCAAACTGAGAGTTTACACCTATCCTCAATCAATATTAAGCCTCATATGCTTGGCTCAAAGGCAATGCAAATAATCAATTAAAAAAAACAGATTGTCTAAGTAATATTTATGCTTCGTGATCATAATTAGTCAAATGGAAACTAGTGAAAAGAATTCTAGAAGATTTCATGGTTTTTTTTTCCTTTGGTTTTTATCCTTCTGCTGATAGTTTAATATTTCCTGGAGTGCGACTGGGAGCTGACAGTCAATTCAGTGATTTTCTTGATGGATTGGGACCAGCCCAGCTTGTTGGCCGCCAAACTCTTGCCACCCCTGCAATGGGTAAGAATCATTTTTTTTCTACAGGAAAATTGATGTTTTGTGTTTGACAAAGTCATTTAAAATATTTAAAATTGTGTAATAGCAATACAAGTGAGAAGCAACATTTTAGCTAGGGAGTTACTGTTTGCAAACAACTATTCTAATTTCAAGTGTATTTTTCTAATTTGAGATATTATGAAACAGGAAGTAAAATTAGCCATAAATATTTGAATTACCAGGAACTCTGATATAATAGATCTAAATGTAGGACAAGGGTGGCATTTCAGAGCATGGAAGAAAAAAAAAAAAAAAAGATAGACTGTTCAGTAAAGTATAGTAGCATAACTATTTACCTGTGTGAAAAAATGTACGGAATTCCCTCACCCTACACAACTTACCAAAAAAGTTAATATTTTAGACTTAACTATAAAAAAGAAAAGGGAAGGTGGAGAAAGATACTAAAAAGTACTGGAAAACACTTAAGTTAATCTTTCTGTAATCTTGCAGTGGGAAAGAACTTCAGCAAAATGCATGAAAATAGATCAGCTTGAAGACACAATATAGTGAAATTTCGCAACACTGAGGCTTGATAGAAAAGCATACAAGCTTCCTAAGAGGAAAAATAAAAGGAGAACTATAGAATACCACCAATAACATGGCCTATTTAAATTTTAAAAAAAAAGAAAATCTTTTATAAGAGAGGAGAATTCGGGATGTAGGAGGAATAAACCAAAAAGTTCAAACTTACTCTAACAAGAGCCTAAAAAGAGAATAGAGAGACAGTTTTTGGGGAAAAATAATGATGCCTGAGTGTTTAAGAAAAACATAAAACCTGAGAGATTGAAAGAGCACATTGGTGAACTGAACAATCTGTACAAAGCAAACAAACAAGGAAAATCTTTTTAATGCAATTTCAGGACATCATCTCAAGTCATGAGGAAGAGAAAGAAGATTACCTAGAATAAAAAACAAGATGGAGAATTTCATCAGAAAACTCAAATCTTTAAGAGCCCAGTAGAAATTATAGAATTGAAAAATATAACTAAAGTTAAGAATTCAATGGATGAGTTACCAGCAGTTTAGACAGAGTTGAGGAGATAATTGGTTAGTGGTTAACTGGAGGATAAAGCCTTAAGAAAGTATCCAGAATTAATTGGACACACAAAATAATGGAAAATATGAATAAGAAGTTATAAGATCGAGCAGAAAAGTGAGGTCTAATATATGTCTAATTAGTCCCAGAATAGGGAAGGAAGGAGTATAGGCCAGACACCATTGAAAATATAATGTTTGAGTGAGAATTATTCAAATGTTTCCAGCATAAAAGAAAAAACAAATATTTAAGGTAATGACATCCCAATTACACTGACTTGATCATAATAAAGTATATGAATGTATTAAATTATCACATGTACCTAAAAATTATGTACATATATTATGTACATATTATGTATCAATAAATAAAAATGAAAATGGAAAACAAAGAGTGTAACAATAAAAAGTATATGTATATAATGATTGATAGATTTTTCAGAACTGAAAATAAATATAGTCATACTTTCCAGAGTCCCTCATGAACCCCAAGAAAAGCAAATTCAGCAATACTAAAAATAATATTATCACAACCAAATGGGATTTTTTTTCATGAACACATGGTTGGTTTAATATATGAAAACTAATTAATATAGTTGATCACATTACTGTAATAAAAAGAAAACATGACCATCTTAAGTATGCAGAAAAAATGTTCGATAAAAATTGAGTTTTAATTTATGAGAAAAAATTATCAAACTGACAATAGAGTGGAGTTTACTTATCTGTTAACGTTTCTACAAAGCACACATGTGTATGTGTGTGTGTGTGTGTGTGTTTGCATATCAGATTGTCCAAATTGTTTACATCTTTCAATATAAGTAGCAAAGATGCTTAGAAATATGCATTCTCTTACACTGCTATTAGAAGTGTAATTTGGTGCAATCACCAATTGGAATAATATGGCAGCATCTAGTAAAAATAAAAGTGTGGATGTGCTGTGACCCAGCAATACAACTTTGAATTACATATCCTCAAGAAGCTCTTTGCAGCATTTTGTTGTAGCAGCACCAAATAGGAAAGCCAAGACCCCTAACTGGAGAGTAGATAAATATGACATTCATGTAATAGACTGTAATAGAGAAATTAAAGGGAATGTTCTAGATCTCAACACATCAACTTGGATGGATATCTAAGAAAATGTAGTTAAGTGAAGAAAGAAAATTGCTGAATGATACCACTTATGCAAATGCTTAGGCTGGACGCCGTGGCTCACACCTATAATCCCAGCACTTTGGGAGGCCAAGGCAGGCAGATCACCTGAGGTCAAGAGTTTGAGACCAGCCTGACCAACATGGTAAAACCCTGTCTCCACTAAAAATACAAAAAATAGCCACGCAGGGTGGCGCATGCCTGTAGTCCCAGCTACTTGGGAGACTGAGGCAGGAGAATCACTTGAACCCAGGAGATGGAGGTTACAGTGAGCGGAAATCACACCACTGCACTCCAACCTGGACGACAGAGGAAGCCTCTGTCTCAAAAAAAACAAAACAAAACAAAAAAACAAACAAAACTTAACATTTGAAAATTTATTTGAGATGAACAGTTGTTAAAAAATATAACCTACCACAAAGAATTTAAGAGTAAGTAGAAAGCTGAAAAAACCTGAGTAGAACTATAACTGTCAGTATTTAACATTCTACTTACCAAAAAATGGGGAGAATACACCCAGGTGTTTTCATAGAGGAGCTCTAATAAATATGAGCTCGAGAGACATGAAAACTATGAAACAAATATTTTCATGAAATAAAAAGGAAGGGACTCATTCTAGTTGCTGATCTAATTTTGTATCAAACTATACATGGGCTACATAATGCTCCTTAATAATCAAAGAAATGCAAATTAAAATATTGTTTTAACCAGATTGGCAAAAATTAAGCATATTTTTGATACTGGTATTAGACATATTGCTAATACCAGTATTAGTGAGGGTGGGAGGCAGGAAGAGCGATATTTCTGGTGATAGTGCAAACCTTTCTGGAGGAGTTGGCAGAATGCATGGAATTTTTGGATGTCCATACTATTAGATATGAAAACTTAAAATATTGGAATTTTATGTTCAAAAAATAAATGATTCAAGAATGTGTGCAAGAATTCTTATGAAACTGTTCATTATAACCCTGCTTACATACACTGCACCATAAAATAGTTTATGTAAACAACCTTTATTTCCATCAATAGGAGTCTGATTTAATAAGTAATGACATGTCTATGCAGTAGTCCATACAGTCAATAAAATGATGATATATGATCATGATTGCTGATTGATAGATAGATAGACAGACAGATAGATAGGCAGATAGATTGATAGAAGTATGAGAATGCTAGGATATTGACCAAATATTAATGGTGGCTTTCTCTGGATAATGAAAATACATATGGTTACAATTTTTTAGTATATACTGGATGAAATAAGAGTAAGAAATCACATTAAGTACAAGAATTATAGAAATACTTCAGTGTTGTTATAGTCATTTATTAACTAATTTGCAAATCTCATAAGAGGGATTAATACCAGAAAAAATAAGAGAATCATTTCCAAATTTGATTTGGAGACCAAGAAAGAAAAGTGGATTGTGGAGTGAGAGGGTCTAAATATTAGTTTCTCAACAAAATCATGAAGATAAAAATCTGTAGTCTGTTATGGGCTCTCCTTTTTGTTTTAACTGCACTTAACTGGAAAGAAGCTGAAACACATCTTGCTTCCCCTCCATTTGCAGGTGATATACAAATTGGAATGGAGGACAAAAAGGGCCAATTAGAAGTTGAAGTTATTAGAGCACGAAGCCTCACACAAAAGCCTGGTTCCAAATCTACACCTGGTAAGGAGAAGTATTCCTGAATTTGGTGAAGGGGCTATTTAATAGGCAAACAAATAAAAACATTTGCTGTATTTGAATTTCATATGCTCTGTTTTGCATCATCTGATTAATTTAAAAAGCAGTGTTTCTGTGTTCTTTGATGTTATGAAAATGGATTTGGGTTTTCCTTGCACAGTTATTCTTTCAGAAGGTGTTAGGAAGTATGTTATAATATTTTTTAAAGTTTAGTTATGGTTGTTTCTTAGCTAGTGTCAATTATTTTCTTTCTGCACATTTAGAAAGGCAAAAGAAAAAAAGAATATATTCTAATTGTAAAAGGTGAACAATGAGCTTTAAGATATAAACCTGCATTGTAACCCAAGTAAGTCAACGTCTTCAAATAACTTTGTATACATTGAATCAAAATGAGGAAAATGGCAGTAATGGTAACATATAGATTTAAGGAATAGAATTTATGGAGCAATGAAAATTTTAAATATTTTAAACAGTCGATGGGAAACTTTCAGTAAGCATCTCTAATTCTCTAATAGGGAATTCTCTAATTAAAAAAACAGTTGAATTTAAGGAATAATTCTTGTATGTTAATATAACTTTGTTTAGCTCCATATGTCAAAGTATATCTTTTGGAAAATGGGGCCTGTATAGCCAAGAAGAAGACAAGAATTGCACGAAAAACCCTTGATCCTTTGTATCAGCAGTCTCTGGTTTTTGATGAAAGTCCACAGGGTAAAGTTCTTCAGGTCAGTAATTGTTTGGCTTTTTACATTGAAATGTTTGTATTATTCATATATCAAAGAGATGGTAAAACACAAAGAGATAAATGTAGGATAATATTCTTGAGTAGAAAAAATTCAAATGGTTAGTTTATAATGTAAATAATGTATAATATTAAAAATATTTGGTGGATCTAATAGAGAACAATTTTATTTTATCTCTCTCTCTTCTTTTCTTTTCTGTCTCTATCCTCTCCTTCTAGCTTTGCCCTGTTCCCGCCCCTCCTCACTCCTCACTAGATAGATAGGTATAAATAGATAGAGATATATCCTCACTAGATAGATAGGTATAAATAGATAGAGATATATCCTCACTAGATAGATAGATGATAAATAGATAGAGATATATCAAACAAAACAATGCTAATAATAGCTGTTTCAGCATTGCTCTCTGCCAAACATGGGATACAAAGAGGAGGAGGGAGAAGAGAAGAGAATAGGTCCTGGTTGAATGCCAGATGCATTTCTAGGTGCTTATATGCATTATTTAAACTTTGTAACTAACATGCGCAATACTATCATTATCCCCATTTTAAAGATTATGTCTGAGATTCAAGAGGTAAAGTAATTTCACAAAGTTACTCAGTAAAGTTTAAAGGTGGGATTCACCACCAACTCTGCTTGTATAAAACAGGTGAATGAGTCCAGTTGGGAACCTTTACAGATGACTGAAGTATTAGAAAATAGAACCCGGGACTATGTGTAATGGAAGGCTTGTCTGACACCAATAGCCAATAGAAGTTGACCTAGATTGTGGTAATTTTTAATGATCTAATTGAAATATTAATCATCTAAATTAAAATTGGCAGGCAAGTCCTCAAAAGGTACCAGCCCACAATTATTTGTTTGATCTACCCCTTCATTAAAAAGACCGTAATACAAAAGAAATCAAATGAGTACTCTCATTCTTTGTACATACTTTCTTGTACATACATTCCATGGTATACTGAGTTGGATTGCTCATCCTGCCCTCCTAAATTGCACAAATTTTAATTTTTATATTTTTATGGTCCTGCACATCGCTAATTAGATAGTAGTTACACAAGAAAGGTGTTGCATTCATATAAAAATAATCTTATGTATTTATTTCTTTAACATGGCTTATGTAGATAATACTCCTCATTAACTAGGAACACACAATCCTTCATTCCATCAGCCTAAAAATTATTGTGAAGTGTCTATAAGCATCTTAAGGTTAGTGTATCTTCTTATCTGTGCCTTCTCCTTGGTGATAGTTGTATTCATTTCCTCTGCTTCACTGACTGGCCCACTTTTACAGCATAGTTGCTTTGAGCCCTTCGGATATGAAGGAGAGAGAAGTCCAGGTAATGTTGCATTTCTCTCTCTCTGCAGGTGATTGTCTGGGGAGACTATGGCAGAATGGACCACAAATGCTTTATGGGTGTGGCTCAGATCTTGTTGGAAGAACTCGACCTGTCCAGCATGGTGATCGGATGGTACAAATTGTTCCCACCGTCCTCACTGGTGGATCCCACACTCACTCCCCTCACCCGCCGGGCTTCCCAGTCATCTCTGGAAAGTTCAACTGGGCCTCCCTGTATTCGATCATAGTGAACTCATACCAGAGTCATTCCAATAAAACTCTACCTTTCAGGATAATAATCTGAACCAGATATTTCATGATCAAAAGCATTGTTGGAGACAGACAATCAACTTGTGTTTTGCCTGTAGTAGTTTTTCAATAATATGTCCCAATTGTTATTTAAAACATGGCTTCATATGACAGAACAAGGCAATCTATCAAATTACAGGAAGAATCAACGTGCTGGTGAGAGTCACTGATGCTTCTAACAAATAGAAAAAGAGGAAACTTTAAATCTACACATACACCTACACACACACACACACACACACACACACACCCCAAATTGAACAAACTGGAAACTCTCACTCTGTGAAAAGTTGTATTCTACACGTTTCTGCACAGACCACAAGCAGTGTTATTTCCCTGATGTTTGAATTGTTTTGTTCTTTTGTGTGTTTTGTTTATTTGTGTGTTGTTTGTTGGTTTTCGTTTCTTGAGGTTTTTTTTTTGTTTGTTTTCACCACATCTGTTATTTCCACTAGTTTTTTTGGCTGTGTCATGACAGGCCTCATGATGCTAACAGAGACTCTTCCCTTCTTTTTTCCAAAAGCACCAAAAAAAGGGCTGAAGTGGTCTCTGTGGCATCTCCCCAAAGTGTTAAACAGCTACATAAGGTGAAGCCAAAGAAGGGTTTCACTAGCTTTCATTTTATAATTCTTTAAAGTCTTACGTGTGGAAACCCAAAAGACAAAAAGTTATCTTCCAAAATAAATAATCACAGAAGTACTTTTTTAATGAAGAGCCTATCTGTTTGCATTCTAGAAAATTAATTTATGGTTTCCATTGTTTTGCATGGAAGACTTTTAAAGAAGTCAATCTGCAACTAATGCTGGGGACTAAAACTAACTGCATAATTGTACTTTGAAAACACTCCTTGTATTGCCTTTTTCTTCCTGATATTAAAAAAAAAATGCTCATGTGTATAAACCATACTTTGACTTCCCAAAAATGGTGACTAGGAATGGATTTGAGCCTAAGACACTTTGAGCTACGCCCAGGCTTCTCAGCCATGCCTCAGTGTAGACACACCCATCTGCCCTGGAAAGAGCATGGTATGAGCTGTTCAATATTCCACTGGAAATTCCAGTTGAAATATTCTGCACTAAACTAATGTTTTTATCGAATTTTAGTTTACATTTCTTTGAGATTGATGCAAGCACAAAGCTTGATTTTTTAATGCAAAGTATCTTACTTTTGGGGGGAAAAATAAACAAAGTCAACTTTCAATTTGCATTTTCTTCATTTAGTTTTTCTTGGCCTTGAATTTCCCTTGTGACATTCTGTACATGTGCTACAAACTGCAGTCTCTGCGGGTGCATTGATATGTTCTCCCTCCTTTTATGAGTCACTCCACTTTTGTGATTACACAGATAGAGCAGCATGACTTGGAACTGTTCAAAGCTGCATGCACATTTTGTAAAAAAAATTTTAAAAAGAAAAGAAACAAAAGGTTATTTAATAATGTATGTTAGTTCCACATAGGCCAGCTTGTA